CATGGGGGGCGTCGATTGCTTACCATCAGGTGATCCGTCTGCTCGTTTACCAGCTTATACTATAAAAAAAAGTTTGTTACATTTTTGACCACGTCTGTTAAATAGAAACTGTCATATAAACTAATGTTTGTCGACGAATCATATTGTGGCCCTGAAAAGGGCCTTTTGTTTTAAGAATTCGATGCGACGTGGCCCATGCACGCGACACAACTTGAAGTTTTCAGATGACCTTCATCGCCTCCCGGAGTCACGGATGACTCCAACACTTCTACTTCCTCAGTATCCAGCTTAGCCTTGACTTCCTTCCTCTTCATTTTCTCTCCTCTTTGCCTCTAAGTAAGCCACAATTATTGCATCCATTGTAGCTTGTGACAAAATCATGTCTTCAGGGGATGGTGACCTCCACTCCATTTTGCTGCAGGTGTCCTCCGATTCGAAGTGCCACTCTGTACGTTCAACAGGTGTCATTACAGATGGTACAGGTACCATGCTTTTATGTCTCGAAATTTTTTTGAATTTTCTATCGTCGCTATTTGTTACGCAACTGCGTGCAGTTGAAAGACTGAAGTCATGTTTTGCACCGCTATTAGACAAATTCAACAAGCTTTTTAGTTAGGTTATTTGAAAATCACTTTTACTTCACAGACGACTGTTCGCGTCAACTACAAGTCGAGTACTGACGCCTCAGCAATTGTGATTTGGTTGGCCAATTTTAACAAAGATAAAAATTGGAGTGGGGGAAGCCACTGCCAAGCAAATGCGTGTGGTAATTTACTATGAAAACCGTTACTCATGAAAATACCAATCGTGGGAACCATAAAATAACACATTTGAGTATTTATTTTTGTTTCTATCTCTCTCTTTTCTTTTGTTTGAATTTGTATTGTTTTGAGTTTAAGCTTTCCACTTCCTTTGCCAGTAGTAATTGCTTCTTATCTTGGCTGTTGAAATATTTTATTGTCTCGATGATTTTTTTATTGTCATGGTTTACAGTTCCTAAGTTTAGTCAAATCACGTATCTTAATTGTTGAAAAGGAAGAAATGTTCATCATTATTTTAAACGTATTATCATTTATCATAATGGTTTTAATTAAATACTCGAAAGGTCTTGCATAATTTTGTCAGCTCCTTCATGAGCGCAACCATCTATTGAAGTTGCCACCGTCTCTGTCCATTATTTTCTTTATAATTATCTGATCTAATACTGCCGCCGCCACTGACTCAGTAGGTTTAGTTCTGATGATTGGGATAACGTTTCTATGATTCAATACAACTTTAAGGATTATACACCTTCTTTACGTCCGAATATTGAAATGTTACTCAATTTTATACATAACATCACTCCTTTTATACCCGAAGGGGTAGGCAGAGGTGCACATTATACCACTGAACAATGTAACACCTACTTTTCACTATTAAATTTATGTTATGAGTCCTATGTAATAGGGGGTGAGCCTATTGCCATATACCGAGCACATTTCCAGACTCCGTGCTACTACTGAGATTTTTTTAAAAACCCCAGTAATACTTTACCCGACCCGGGAATCGAACCCGAGACCCGTTGCCCGGCAGTCGCACTTGCGACCACTCGGCCAACGAGGCAGTCAATTTTATGTTGTACTTAAATATCGTGCTGTGTTAGAAACCCAACCAAGGAGACGATGTGTGCTTTTGTCGTCACACCGGGTTCAAGCTTTACGTCAGCTAAGCCATCGTATGCGACCTACGTGACCTGTCGCATGTACGCACGACTGAAGAAACTCCGGTCTTCTCTGAGAGCAGAGTCGATATATAAAACTTTTAAACTGTTATTAGTTGTACAATATTTTTCTTCTACATTTACTAATATAATTTTCCGAACCAAATTTTAAAACGTTAGAGATTCAAAGAGAACTCAAAAAATGAAATTATACTAAACTAAGTAACGAACATTATTTCGAAGGTTTAATAATGGGTTCTTAGCTCCCAATAAGTTGGTTACGTTTTTGACCACATCTGTTAAATAGAAACTGTCATATAAACAAATGTTTGTCGACGAATCATATTGTGGCCCTGAAAAGGGCCTTTTGTTTTAAGAATGCGATGCGGTGCTTTCCACGTCTGCTCCTAGCATCATTACCTCATAGTCTAAGCTGCTCGAGTCACGAAGCAGTTTTTGACTCTTCACACGTTTTTCTACTTTCTTCAGTAAATCTGTCAGTCGTTCACGTGACATAGGACGCACTCCTTGATCTGCTCGCCCATGGAGCAAGCTACAGCTGCTGTTGTTACCATCCTTGTTCTTATTTTCTTTATCAATCTGATCTATTGCTGCCGCTGCCATTGACTCAGTAGGATCAGTTCTGATGGTTTGGACGACATTTCTTCTATACAGTTCACCAAAATTATTTCTGTGTTGTAATAAATTTCCACGCGTTGGTAACATGGCTCGCTGAGTGCTTCGTAGGTTTCGTTACACCACCATTCTTTGCTCGTGGTATGTTCCGAATACGGCCACGTCTAAACCTATCACCGGCTACTTTTCCAGTACTGTCTCCAAGTCTTCCAGATATAACTTTACGCTCAGCGTCACCATCCCCGGGAGTATCTTCGATAGAGTTTGTGATACTATCGAAATCCATTTCAGTTTTGTCAAACATCTTGCTACTTGCAGTGAGAACAGTCGAAGTTAAAGTGATGCACACTCAGCTACTGACTGGACAGCAATAAGTGACCGTCGTCTTCGGGTCATCTCTGCGTCCCCGGCTGGGGGCGCGAGGTCGCGCGATCCAGGCCGATGCCTGTCTCGGCGGTCTCGTTCGCTGCCTGCTACAGCAGGCGAGGGGTTGGATTAGTCGGGCACCTTGCGGGGCCCGATGTGGTGTCGAGTCCGGTGGTATGCCCCGCCATTGGCCGCGCTCTAGCCGGGCAAGCCCAGCGAGCAGCAAGCTGTTGGCGGGGCATAGGTCGTGTCCAGTGGGGGCGCCGCTATGGGCCGCGCTCGAGCCGGGGGGAGCCCGGCGAGCGGCGGGCTAGTAGCGGCGCGCGTCGTGTCCGGTGGTGGCGGATCCGGCTGCGGATACGATCCGCCTGCGGGCGGGCGGGAGTCTCACGCGGCGTCCGATGGGCCGGTCGGTGCGACCAGTCTCGTGGAGGCCGAGGCCGTCAGGGGGGCGCCGGTGGTAGGGCGCCAGTCCTCTGAGATGGTCGTGCCGCGACCGATCGGAGCGCTCAAAAAGTGTGGTGCTCAGGCGCTGCACGAATGCGTCGACGCTCTACGCCGAGGTCTCGGGCTTGTCGCGTTCCGTACGAAGCGCGGGGCCTGTACGATGGTGCGCAGTGACAGTGACTGCTGCGCACGGAGGCGTTTCTTGTTGGTTTCGGACACGAGCGCATACCATGCCGGGGCGGCGTAGGTGAGCCGTGTCCGAATGTAGGCCTTGTAGATGCCGAGCTTCGCACGGAGAGGTAGCGCCGAGTCGATCACCGGGCGCAGGAGGTGACGCGCGGCGCGCGCCTGAGCGGTGGCCTGCTGCACGTGGGGCGTCATTGAGAGCGAGCGGTCGATGGTCACGCCGAGGTATTTAACGCTCGGCGCCCACCGGACCTGCTCTCCCATGAGCGTCATGGGTGTCGGCTTCATGATCCCCACGGCGAGCGCCTGGGTCTTGGCCACGTTCACAGCCAGTCTCCACTTCTCCAGCCATTCAGGGAGTGCATCTAGGGCGCGCTGTAGTTTGACTACTGCGTGCCTCGGGTTCAGCGACGTCGTGTAGTAGGCGGCGTCGTCGGCGTAATAAGTGACCAACAGCTAAAATTTCTTTTATATACCCACAGTGACAAAGGAACTTGTTGGAGTGCGAAGTGCCACCGTGGGAACCATAAAACAATGCATGTTAAACTTTGCCCCTTTTTATTGTTTTGACCATTACCATTAGCTTTGCGATTTCTTAGAAAACAGTTATCACCTATTGTCCCGACTATGCGAATAGTTTAGTGATAAGGGTTGTTTAAAATATATTAGACCAATTTTGGAGATCGCAGTTTAAAAAAAATCAGGTTAAACTTAGACAGCTGTGATAAATCGCTGTATTATAATTATTATAAATCCCATGTAATAGGGGGTGAGCCTATAGCCACAAATCGGGCACAATTTCACATTCGGGACTCCGTGCTACTACTGACATTTTTTTTACGAACCCAGTAATACTTTGCCCATCGAGATCCCTTGTCCAGCAGTCGAACTTGCAACCGCTCGACCAACGAGGCAGGCAAATAAATACCATATTTTATTTACAAGTTTTAAATATTCTGGTTGCGGAACACAACATAACCTGTGTACCTGTGTGCTATAAGTTGTAATGTCTTTTTCACTCCCGTGTCTCTTGTCTCTCGCTCGCACTCGTCGGAAAGATGTACTCAATTCACCAATGATAATTAATTGAGCAGTAGTGTTAGTGTTGTTGAAATCGTCATAACGGGGCTCGTTACTTAATGCGACAAATTATAGACGATATTTTGAACCAAAAACTATCGATAAATATTTGTGTTGACACAACTATAATCGCTTACAAAGAAAATATGAAGCTTTTAATACTTAGTGATTGTTAGTGTGGGACTAAGATAAGATAGGATTTTTAAGATTTTCAGAAAATATCCAAAATAGTACCAGTTTCAATTCCTAGTACTTAAATAATAGAGGACTAGCGCTTTGTTAGCGTGGGACATTAGACCAGTCTTATCAGGTTGTTCGCGGAAAACTGTAGTTAGCGATGATGCTTACCATGGAGTACGCCTACCTATAATAAACCTTTTTACTCGGGCTCTGAAGACTCCCACGGATATTTATTTAGCGGTTTTACATATTTGTTTAAAAAAACTAATATGTCCGTTTTATATATCTTTAACCGACTTCAGCGGTTTTGTCCAAATCAGGTCTGATTGGCTACATCGGAGGCTGGACAGAAGCTCTTATACTTCGACTAGATGAAAGTGATCGATTGGATGTAGCCCTTATCATAATGGTCTGGGTAAGTTAAGAATCATCATCTAATACTTGCTACGGTTGTTCGTACCCCTTGCTACGTAAGTTCGTAGCGCATACTACGAAATTTCGTAGCTACTACTACGTGATATCGTAGCGGAATTAAAACTAGACATTGTTTCCTGTAGTATAAACTTCCCCAATATAACGCCTGGCTCTATTGTGTATAATTATCATCAGCAGTCCGTGAGTCCACTCCTTTACAAAAAGTAGTTCGCCATAATCTTCATCACAATCGAGTCACAATTGCTTTGCCGGCCTATTAAAAAGGAATACGATCGTTGGTCTCCAGGACCTGAGATTTTTTGTAAATGATGATAATAATGATATTTATAATTATAACCATCCTTATAGCTTTTAATGTAATTGGATACTTTGTAACTAATCAAATTGTGGACAATATATGAGGTTAAAGTCGGTTCTTTTGAACATAGTTTATTGAAAATTGTCATTAATATTTTATTATATTAAAAAGTCTATATACTTATATTTAACTCAAATAAATACCGAATTGTGTGTTTATGAATTAATATAGATTTAAACGAATATACCTAGTATTAAGTATACAAGAAGAAACCGTTTATATACCTAAAGAAAAGAAAGGTATTTTGTCAGTAGAGTCTTGATCATCTTAGGAAGTTTTTGTCTTTCAATATTCTTGTGCATTACGCTGTAAAGGTAAGGTTGAATTAGTTTATGTTACTTATTATATTTACATGCGATTCGATACGTTTCGTTTCTGTGCCAGTATAAACTGATTCTTTCAGTGTTCTATCTCCATAATGTATTATGTTACTACAAAAACAAATTAAGTATGTATTATTAATTACATGGACATTTTAAATTCGAAATAAATAGAATGGAAACCGTGACTGTTTGGGTTTTATTTTTACATACAAACACACGTACGTAATTCCAAGCCCTGTAATTTTGGCGTTATCGCAAATTTTACCTGATGAACCGTATACCGGTCAGTACCAATAGGAGTTTAGGAACCTTGTTGAAGATCGTAAATGATTTTGTCCTCAAAACGTTCGTCCACTCCAGATCCGTTGATAAGGTTTCGAGAAATTCATCGAAAATATAACAAAATGTGTGTGGTCACAATAATTACCACTTACAATAGAAAATATATAACTTTTAATACTTAAACAATAGAGGACTAGTGCTTTGTCGGCGTGGGACAATAAACCAAAGACTTATCAGTAGAAACTTATGCTTCGAAAAAGTAAACGAGTTTGAAGCTTGACAATGCCAAAGAAATTAATGTTTTGTCTTATTTAAAAAATAATCTGTTTGCTTTTATGATTTTTGTGGTATTTTTCACAGAAAATGCACTAGTCATAATCAGAACATGAATTGAAGTACTTCTTTTTTTACTTATTTTTTAAAGCAATTATTCACAACAAAAAATGTATTCTTCTTTAAATAAACTAAAATAATAGTTCAATATTTTAACCGACTTCAAACTTCCCTTTTTTTGAAGTAGGTTTATTAATATATTAAAATCTTTGCCTAAGTGTACAAAACACTTTTCTGAAAACCGCATCAAAATCGGTTCACCCAATCACGAGATAATCGCACACAAACATACATATAGGATAATTTGAGAACCTCATTGTTTGAAGTCGGTTAATACTAAATTTATGTTCTAAATAAAACAATTAACTAATTTCATATTAGAAATTAGTTGGATTTAATAAGAAATTAAAAGCGCAGGTTTCCTCGCGATGTTTTCCTTAATCGCTAATTTCATAAACTGAGTCATTTTAAGCTCGTTACCTAAAGATAATTAATGAATCTTAAGTCCCTATCTGCTGCTGATCGATACCTATTCTCCACAATTCAATTTTTTACTTTTCATCGAGTAATTGCTACTTACTAATTACTAAGATACTCGTCACATTAATAGTGAAAAGTGGGTGTTACATTGTACAGTGGCATCATGTGCCGTAATGTGCACCTCTGCTTACGCCTTCGGCGATAAAAGGCGCGATGGTATATTAATTATTAAGATAATGCAAGACTATTAATACTAGAAACAATAAAGGAATGACACGTGTTATTTTATGGGTCCCACGACAGGTTGTGAGTAAGTTGGAAATTACCACGCATTATCTGTGGCAGGTAGCTCTCCCTACACCAATGTTTACCTTTATTGCATCGTAGTTGCCGAAGAGTCATTGCTTGACTAGTCGTTGACACGAACAGACGTACGTCGCTCGTCGACCATTACTTACAAATATTATATTACAGTGAAATCATTGTGAAACATCATCATGTCTAACAACAAGGGTACTGGACATCAATTGAAGGAGAATGGAAATCCTGGTCGCATCTCGAAAGAAAACCGGGATAGAATAAAAAATAGCCACGCGGAAGGACGCAGATACACATCTGAAGTAAAGAACCATTTGAAAGGTGTCACTAAAAGTAAACCTTCGAATGGAAAAAAGACGAATGCCGTACCACAAGTGAATCACAAATACCGTACCACAAATGGTAATTCTCATCCCATACATCTGTTTCCCAGCGGAGAAAGACTGAAGGAATTGGACATGGCATACGAAGGAGCAATGGATCTTTTAAGGATCCTTGATGAAGATGGTGTCAACAGAAGTAAAGGTCGATCTAAACGCAAGTCAAACGCTAAAAGAGACATGCAAAATGAAGTTGACATGGCGTATGAAGGGGCCATGCAACTAATTGCAAATAGAAGTTATAGCCACATTGCGTCCCGAGTTGGAAATCATGGCCCTAGTAATCGAGGAGCTGAAGTAGGAGGTGGAACACGGCATACCTCTGCCGTACCGACTAAACCAACTCCCCAGTCAAAGGGGAATTTAGTAGCACCCAATGCTGCAAATGCCTCGCCTCTAATGCCCCACCCACGGCGAGGGGCATAAAATATAATTTATTGGCGTAAGTAGCTAATGAAGGTGGTGCATGATGCAGGTCGTGGAGAGCATCTTTCGTCCATTGCACAGGAGTTTCATGGAGAATTCCAAGTGCATTCGCATTCTGAAAACAAAAGGTCCTTTTCAGGGCCAAAAAATGTTTCGTCGATAAACATTGGTTTATATGACAGTTTCTATTTAACAGATAAGGTCAAAACGTACTTAACTCACCTAGGGACTTACTGTAATTAAATCTTTGAAACAAACTTTCCTTATTTTAGTTTGTTATAATTTTATGTCTTAATTACTTTCTATTATTTTAAACTCTTCATTATAAAGAGCTCGACCCAATAAACATTTTTGTTAAATTTTGTGTCGCACTTTAAGAGTGCATATTGTAAAAGAGAAATGTTACACGCAACACATTGGACGTATAACTTCATGAAATGATACATAGAAGTTAGCATTAAATTGTTTTCTCTGTAAATAGTTTTTTTCAGTTTTCTTTTTTTTAATTTTCTCTTTATAAATTACACAATAAACTTTATTAATAAGAATTTAAATTAAGTAAACATATACAACTTAAAATATAAATAACTAAAAACTAAAATATTTACACCTTAAAAAAAGTAATAATAACATAATGCTATGTTAAGGCATCATAAAAAATTTTCCTCATCGCTATTGTGAGGTAGGGTGCCCAAAAGACTGGCAGTATTGCCACGTTGAATGGCAATGCTTAACCTTTGCTCAAGGTAGTAGCCAGCCCTTCGATTACCTGAAGTGTCAACCATCCTCCTTACAATATCTTCGTAAAGAAGATGTGCACTTGGGCCCACGGCCCTAAAGTTTCAATCCCAAACGGTTCGAAAGCATAATTGCCAATCAGGCTATTATACTTTGACCGTTTGAGGTTCTCGGCAGCAGCAGCGGCACCACCGGTTCGACACGTTGAGCTTGGAAGATGGGATGGCGCCAGAGTATCAACGCAAGTGGCGTCCCATACTAAAGACCTACCCATCTTCCAAGGATATAATGACATGTCGTCGGGTTTCTTGCCGTCGTCGCGTACCAAGCGTAGGTTCTAAGAGCACTCCCCCACATCCGGAGTCACACAAACGGTCTTTGCGTACTACTACATAGTGCGATGGAAACAGTTCACCATTAGGTACATATGGAACTATTTAAAAAAGTTTCAGTCAAAGCTACAAAGCCAAAGTTACATTGTGTCATATATTTTATAAACATATTGGTTTTACTACGCAACCCCTTAATCAAACAACTTAAATGATGCGAGTGAAGAGAAACGAGGAAATAATATTTTTTGTAACACAAAATATTTTAATGATAACATAAGTTCTAAAAAATATAATTCTAAGAAAATAAACAATAGCTTTTACAGTGCCAAAAAGTCACTTCAGATGCGTGGGAAAAACTATTAGTTAGTGTCTTAATTACTACGTACCTGTTTAGGGAACAAAAGAAATGCTCAGGGCTCTGGACTATATAAGGGAGGATCTTCAAGAACGTGCACACTTACAGTTTAGACTGCATACAGTGACTACACATTGTAAAGATTATTAAGAACTTCTAAGCCATGGCCTCCATAAACAATTTGACCATGTCAGTTGGAGTTCCACTTCGGAAATCACAAAAGGATAAATGTGGTTTGAAAAAGGCAGCGAACGACAGAATATACAAGAACAAAACACGGCGAGAAAAAATAAATCACAAACACAAGACATCAAAGAGGAACAACGACGAACAGCACGAAATCATTGATGCTGATTCGCCCTTCCACCCAGCGTTCCAGAGTTGTCGATCTGTAGACGAGTTCCAATATCTTTACAGAATTGATGAAGGAGCATTTGGAACTATCCATGGAGCCAAGGACAGACGGACGGGGGAAATGGTAGCCCTCAAACAACTTAAAAAAATCAATGAAACGGAAGGATTCTCTATCGCCGCTCAGAGAGAGCTTGGAATACTGCTGAAGATGCGGCATCCCAACATCGTCGCAGGCCGAGGAATAGCGTCGAGTTCGGGAAATGAGCATGTGTTTATAGTCATGGAGCTCGTTGATTACGACTTAAAAACTTTTATGCAGACAATGAAAGAAAACAAGCAAATGTTTTCAGTCGAACATGTAAAATGCCTAATGACGCAACTGCTAAGCGCTGTACAACATCTGCACAACCATCACGTGATACATCGCGATCTCAAAACCCACAATATATTATTGTCAAACGAAGGTGTATTAAAAGTGGCAGATTTTGGGATGGCCCGAGAATATGAATTCTCTACTCGGCAATATACGCCGGACGTAGTTACGCGATGGTACCGTGCGCCTGAACTACTGCTGCTTTCGAAAGAATACTCCGCTCCTGTCGACATGTGGAGTGTTGGATGTATATTCGCTGAACTAACAACCTTGCGGCCACTATTTCCCGGCAGATGTGAGTTGGATCAGATAATCAAAATATTTGTGGATCTGGGAACGCCTTCAGACACGATTTGGCCCGGTTACAGCGCATTACCAATGGTGAGAGACATCGTGTTCAACGACTATCCACCGGGCGGGTTGCGTAAAAAGATAAGTCGCAATCTGTTGTCTGAAGACGGGCTATCTTTGCTGCAAGATCTTTTAATCTATGATCCTGCAAGAAGAACAACAGCAGCCGCTGCTTTAGAGCACCCATACTTCAAAGAGCAGCCGGTGGCGATGGAGCCGGCCATGTTCCTGAAGTCGCCTGCTCGCTGAGCTATCACGCAAGGGAATGATTTTGGGATGGCCTGAGAATATGCCGTCCTTGACAATATACGCCGGCCAGCTTGTGGATATACCCACACGCTGGTAACGAGCACCTAATCTACAGCTACATAGCAAAACAAAAGGCCCTTTTCAGGGCCACAATATGATTCGTCACAGTTTCTGTGCAACAGATGTAGTCAAAAACGTATTCTGCTTATTGGGGGCTAACTACCTATTATTAATTCTTAGTTTATTTTGATATTATTTAATTTTTTCAGCAGTATCATGGTTACGGTAGTTGGTAATGAAAGCCTCTATAGCTAAGTTATTACAATTGAAAGATGGACTGTATCTACAGTAATTAAAATAATTATTTCTTTGACAAATGACAACATTTTAAAGGGCCATTTTTTCAATGCTCAGATAAATTTCAAATAAGAAATAATTTTAAATATTGGACAATTCATCCATAATAAAAACTGTCAAATTTATTCAACAGTTAAGAATTAACTGATTATTGAAAAATCGGCCCTTAAAAAGCGGCCATCGTCGCACTTGAAAAGTCGCATCGTCGTGCGTACGTGCAACAGGCCACGTAAGCCGCATACGATTACTGAGCTGACATAAAAATTGAATGAATGAAATGAAGTCCATTCATTAATTCAACATCGTTCATTTAAAAAGTTAGTTAATAACTTTATTTTTTTCATTTTCATTATTGTTTAAACGAAACGTTCTTGTTTCTTAAACAATAATTACCACTGACATAGAAAATACTATAACTTCTAATATTTTAACAAAAGAAGATTAGTGCTTTATAATCGTTGGACCAAACCGAACAAAGTCTTCTCAGTAAATACTTCACAAAAATTGAACGACGAGTTCACCAAGCTCACGAGTTTGAAGCTTGACAATACCAAAGAAGAAGAACAATACCAATGACAAGAAACAATGCTTACCAATTTGGTTATTATAAAAATAAAATCCTTATCCTCAATCTCCTATTCCATATCCCTATAACGCCGATAATATAGTATTATCCCGAGTCATCACCACACCTTAATACATATATGCTACAAATACCAAAATATCGTTTATGAAATAAACAAACAAACTTAGACCCAGTTGTGACTTTGTAGAACACCATAACATGCATTCTATAATGCTGATTTATTGCCGTTGACAACAACGTAATAATCTTCAACAAAGGTCATGTAAATCCATAGGTTCTCAACTTATTCAGTAAGTTTTTATGTGAAACACTGTCAAACGCCTTGTTGAAATCTGTGCATATAATATCCGCTTGGTGACCGGCATCAATAGGTTTTCATAATAGGTCTGTTAATGGAAGTAAGACTATACTGTACTGTTGGTATTTAATTCATTTATTTATAATTACAACACGGTTTTATCTTTACCAAAATAAAGTTGTGTGTATAATGTGTTGGGGAGGGAGGCGTCAGAGGGATTACACGAATTTGTGTAAAATAATTATAACCTATAATATATAGGATTTAATTCGTAGCTCACAAATAAAAATGCTAACATACTAAAATAACAAAATTTCTTAGATTTGGTTAAGTTTTTGTCCACGAAACTGTCATATAAACCAATGTTTGTCGCTGAATCATATTTTGGCCCTGAAAAGGGCGTTTTGTTTTGAAAATGCGATGCGCTGAGTGCTTTCCATGACCTATTTCAACTCCTGGAATCATTATAGAGGTAATCTAAGCTGATTTAAGTCACAAAGCAGTTTTTCACTCTTCACACGTATTTCTATTTTCTTCATTCAGTTGGCTCGCAGACGGTGAGGAAATTACTTACTATTTTCTTGCTCATGGAAATTCCAATAGTTATACACTCCATGTAAATCAAAGAGATGTTTCAACTAGTTTATCGTTGGACATTCACACTGCTGGCTGGCGAGAAATCACTGCTCGTAGTTTGTCTTTAATCGACAAAATATAAAGTAAAGCTAAAGCATAAAGCTCACCAATATGAAACCCTAAAACTCGCTTATAATCGCTTGCTAGCTTGTATCCACATTCTAGCCCTACTCTAACACGTCCATCGTTGTCGGTTGAACAACTGCCTAATTATAGTGTTACATGTTACAAAACAAAAATTTTAATCAACGATTGTTTGACTGCCTGCCTAACGACGAATTAAACGATTCTTCTATCGCACATTTAGTCGATAATATGTAGACAATTGACGTGCCCCACGGTTTTATTTTAGTCTAGTCTATGCAAATGTTTATAATTCCCACGACTGTATCTATTTCATTATTTTTTGGTTTTTAGTACATTTGTCTTTAACATTGCAATGTATGTTTAACATAAAACCGTTTAAATTAAAAAAAATTAAATATTTTTATTTCAATTATTCCTATTCAGTGGAAATCTGTATAATTATGTATCTTATTTAAAAAAGTCAAATATTCTTGATTCCATTCGTGACATTGAAATTTGTTAACGAAAATAGGGCTAAATATTTGTGTTTTCACAACAATATTTTACAAAGAAAAAGTAAATCTACTTAAACAATAGAAGACAAGTGCATTGTTAGCGTGGGATAAAAACTAAAGTGTTATCAGTAGATATTTCACAAATAGTTACCGACCAATCAGCGCACGAGCTTGATGCTTGACGACGCCCAAGAAAAAATATTTAGGGAGGGGAGAAGTTACAATAGTTGAATGAGTAAAATTCCATTTGCCAAGGAGCCAGTGCCTGTCCTGTCGTCGACACGAACAGTCGTCTATCGGTAGTCGGACATTTGTTGTTGTGTGATACCGTTCCACAATATTTGATCCGGGTGCGCTAACGAATTGTTGATTTTTTACAAATATCAAGATGAATTCGGCAGCTTCAGACCAACCAGAGATGTTCTCAATTACCTCTAAAGAGGTACCAAAAGAACACACATTCGCGGTGCCAGCATTGCCACCAGTCAAGAGAATTGTTAAGAAGAAACAAATAATCAGAAGTCAAGTTGGTGATGAATCCTGTGGTGCTACTACTAGTACCTGTAGTGAAGGACGGATCACATATGAACAATATCGTCGAAAGTGTCCCAAGCAACTGCAGGAAGACTTCCTAGCTTATATTAAAGCGAGGCGTACTCAGAGTTAAAACTCTATTTTAGATACGATCTTAAGATCTACCTTAAAACAAAAGGCCCTTTTCAGGGCCACAATATGATTCGTTAGTTTCTATGTAACAGATATAGTCAAAAACGTTACCAGCTTATAATTTTAATTTTTCAAAGTATCATGGGTAGGTAAGGTTTTTTTTTCATCGAATAATTGCTCCTGCCTGGGTGAGGCGAGAGGGATTGTCAGATTATTACTGACTAAAAACCACCCCGTTTTTTCTCCTGAACGTCGAGCCGGAGCCCCGGTAACCCGTTAGGTTCTCCGCGACTCGTGGCTAAGGTAGTCGGTAATGACAGCCTCTATAGCTAAGTTATTACAATTGAAAGATGGTCTGTATCTTCAGGAACGGAAGTTCTTTAAAATTGACAACATAAGTAACAGAATTTGACATGTCGACTCTGCTCTCGAAGGACACTAGAATTTGAGTGCCTTGTCGCCATCACCGCACTCAAAAAGTTGCATCGTCGTGCGTACGTGCAACAGGCCACGTAAGTCGCATACGATTACTTAGCTGACGCAAAGTTGAATGAATGAAATGCAGATCAATTATTAAAAAGTTAGTTATTATTTTTACATTTCATTTTTTTTTTAAAAGAATAGTTCTTGTTTCTTTAACAATATTTACCGCTAACATAGAAAATACTATAACTTCTAATATTGTAACAAAAGAAGATTAGTGTTTCTTCTTCACAAAACATAACAGTGAATGATGGACTTAATACCTTTTTTTAAGTGAAGAAAATCATCAAATGACTGCTCACTGCTGCCTCAATGCTGCCTCACCCAGGCGGGAATACTCCCGCCTGGGTGAGGCGGTGCCAGACTATTACTGACTAAAAACTACCCGGTTCCTACTCCTCTCCTTCGAGCCGGAGCTCCAGCAACCCGTTAAGTCCTCCGCGGCGGACTTAATCCCTTAAGGCATCTTCTTATAATCGTAGGACCAAACCGAACAAGGTCTTCTCAGTAAATACTTCACAAAAATTCAACGACCAATCACGAGTTCACCAAGCTCACGAGTTTGAAGCTTGACAATACCAAAGAAGACTTCAAAAAAGGAGGAGGTTCTCAATTTGTCCGTATATATGATTTTTTTACTAAGAAAATAATATCCTCATACTCAATCTCCTATTCCATACCATTATAATGCCGATAATGTATCTTAAGTCGTCACGTATGCAGCCTACGTGACCTGTCAGACGTACGGACGACGACGTTTCGAGTGCGACAATATAATCAATAAAAAAAAATTACTTGTACTACCGTATATACAATCATTCTTTCATTTACAATAACTAAGCTATAGAGGCTGTTATTACCAACCATTTTAACTACGAAACTGTCGATTCGCACGTACTGCGGTTGTAAAACATGAAACCACCCGCGATATTTTCAACTTTAACTCCTAAGACAGAGTACTTTATGAATTAGGTACGATTTGTAACCGTAGTCAAGGTGAAACATTTGTTGCTGTAAAAAAACCACAAGTACAGTTACTTATAACAGTTTTCTTGTTTCAAGAACACAAGCAGTTAAAACTACTGCGGTTCAGCCCATGAGCTGACCAAAGTGTTAACCCGCAACGGACAACAATCTGTCACTTAAATGAAGTCAGAAAGATTTTATACGGAGCCTAAGTTATCATTCTACAAAACAAAACTAGACGAAAATTTTAGAGATTAGCGCATAAATTAAAATTATGCCAAACTAACATAAGATTTAATAATTATGTAGTTAGTCCCCAACAAGTTTTAAGTGTGGGAGAGCCATGCTTCGGTACGAATATGCCGGCTCGAGTGGAGTCATGTTTCGTAGTGTAAGTGAGGTTACCGGAGGCCGAATGACCCCCCTC